CAACGGGATGTGCAAACTTTTCAACGCCAGAGCACTACTGGGAGGACACTCCTGGCCGTGGCCCGAGAACCGGCTTGTGCTTTTCAAATACAAAACAGCAGACCCATTCATAGATACTGGCAGTAAATGTAAGAAGCGAGTAGAAACTCTTTGGAGAAAACGCTTCTTCACAAGATGTTTGGTTGAGGATATTGAGGGGGTCTCTTCAGAAGTGAAAGCTCGCTGTGCCGCTGCATTTTTTCCCAAGCTCCTCGGCCACACTGACCAAGTGCCTCTGCCAGGTGAGTGGTTGAGATGAAACTCGGAATATTTCTGCGGCAACAAAAAATGGACAGCCTAACTGCATCTCATTGCGTTGGATTCTTGGGCATTAGGGGGTCAACACGTTAGACCCAGCCAAGGGGCGTAATGCGGTGTTTCTTCAGCCACGCGGCATCTTTGGCCTTCGAAGCTGTGGCCCTGCCCCTGGCCCGTCCCAGTCTTTTTTTGGTTTTGTCTCGAAAATATGCCAGAAAAACATAGAAAAACACATTTTCTTTCCTGGAGATGTTTCCTTTTTCGTATGCTTGCCATATGAAGATAAGATCCGTGGAAGCTTTTTGGTGCCTCGTAGGAACTGGTCAAAAACAGCTCAGGCAAGATCTGAGTACCAAACCTGGGAGCGTAAATCACGTTGCGTTGAGAATTTGACGACCATGTGTTTTTTCTACAAAAAATAGGTGAAAATTGGACCAATTTTATATCCTTTTGAATATGATTTTCAGACTTTTTTCGCTTCACCGGTTGTCATTGGATCACGGTGGCTGACGTCATGGTGTCCCAGCTCGATTCATCGCCATCATGAAAAATCACGCTGTAAAAAAGGGACCATCCAGCGGCTGGAACCAGTGTCAAACGCCATCTTTCCGGAAGCTGTTGTTTTGGATATGTTGTTTGGATAGGTAATTATATGACAATATATGACAGAAATATGCCGAGCCGCTGTATTAAAACACATGTTACAATAATTCAAAGTCAGCCCAACGGGTTCTAACCCCTTCAAGCTTTGCTGGAGGTCTGGCACTCTCCACAAATCAGCACTTTTGTACCCCATGAAACGACCCCTTGGACCTCAAGGGGTCGTTTCATTCATCCTAGATTAACATGGTGACATCACCATGTACCCTCTGGTAATTTAACATAGCTATTGAAAATGATCATTTGTAGTGGATTTTCCCATTAAAAATGGTGATTTTCCATAGTTATGTTAGTTTACTAAGCCCGAAAGGCCGAAACTCGGGCCCGGCTATACCAGTCACGCATTCCACACCCTTCCAACATTGGAAGGTAAAAATCTGGCAACGATCGATACTGTTCCTCGCTGAGTCTTGCCATGGCTGGATCCACTGGAGAGGTGATTTTTTGGCGGAAAATTCACAATTGGGGAAGTGTGGACCAATATTTTTTGGGATGTGTTTGTTGCAGTTGATTGTGGTATCGAACAAACCATGATATAGGAACGTTGAGGGATACTGTATCCTATGGATCATGAGATGCCATATAATTCATATGGAAGTGAGAGTTTCATGATATCGATATGGGGATGTAACAGAAATCTATCATCAACAGTATATGAATTGGGTTTCTCTGAAGATTGTGGTTTTACAACCAAATTGTGGCAATATTAATGGGGGAAAAAGGTGATGAACCATGGGACTTGGGGGTACCCAAGTTCAGATACGAATCATCAAATGTCATATAATTATATATATACATATATATATATATCTTCTGAAATGCCTAAACCTCAATTCATAGTACCGAAGCATCAATCATGCTTGCAATAAAGATGTCCAGATCATTGTGCTCCCTTTCCTTTTTGAAGGGATTGACAAAAGCTGGAATATGGCTTCTGTCTGGTTTCTTGAAGTTGGAAGCTTCTGGACGCAAGTCAGCTGAACAAGACACGGACACAAAATGATAAGTTGAAATCCAACGGCTTTGGCTCCGCTGAGAGTATTTCTGAGCATCAACTGTTTCCAGGATTTGAGATATAGGTATAGTTAGTATAAAAGCCCTATTGTTGCAGATATTGATATGACCATTCACCATGGGAAAATCACCCATCTCCCATTCCGTCCCCGAGTTCACCATCCCCAAAAAGTCTGGAAAAAATACACCACCACCATAGAGTCTTTATAGGTGAGCTATCACAGCAAACCACTTCACAGCAAGCTGGCAATTTTGCATAGACCTCCTGGATCTGTCAGATCCGGGAGTTTTCCGCATCGTACAAAAACCGATGCGGTGAAACGCTCCGAAACTTGCAGACGCTTCTTTAAGAAGTGTCTGCAGCATGTTCCCACGGATCCAGCAAACATCTTGAGGACTGAACCATCCGATGGGGTGAATTTGCCCATGAAAAGCACCAAACCAGCGACGCAGCTCCGAAAATGACGAATCTCAAACACCCAGCAATTGTTGTGAATGTTACTCTGTTGAGAATCAGCCAAAAATCAACAAATCAAGCTACTAATCATGTTATTCGCCAAACCAAACATTATCGAAAATTTTCCCAGAAACCTTGCCCGTCTCCATGGTTGACTCCGCCGTTTCTCTCCAGGATCGCTGGAACCGGAAGGCAACGGAACCCCATTGGCGAAACGAGGACACCTCGACTCTGTCGAGGCATCAGAAGAAACCTTGGACCCCGACCCAATCTCTATATGTGTTCCAAATGGAATATTTAAGCTTCGATCTTGGTGCTTGATATTGCCGACATTTGCCGACTATCTATCTTAGAACTTCAAAAGTTCATGTGGATTTTGTAACATCTTGTAACATCTTGCTGTGATCTCTTGTGACGGTCTATCCGAGTCTATCTGTATACTTGACATTGACATCTTTCGAGCGGAAATCTCCAAGGTTTGCCCAAAAAAAAAAGATCGACCTGATCGACCTCCGTCTCAGAAGCAGGTGACCACCGTAAATGAAGGCCTCAGCAATGGGTCACCTGTCAAGTCACCCCATTTTGGGATGACTCCCGAAGATTCACCAGGTGATGTCCGAGTGGGAACATATCTGGTTGGTGGTTGACCTACCCCTCTGAAAAATATGAAAATCAGTTGGGATGATGACATTCCCAAGATATGGAAAGTCATAAAATTCCATGGTTCCAAACCACCAACCAGTCATGGTACTTCATGGTACTTGGGCAATTCGTTGAAGATGTCATTGCACCAATTGCACCAAGCGAAGGAAGATACATGATACATCAAACCAGGACATGGTAAATGACATGAAATCCCCCCATGGATTTCTGCTTGGCACGACACAAGTTTTTTGTGAACGAGCTCCCATCCGCCCCTCGTCCAAGGCATCCAAGGCATCCAAGGCCCAAACCCAGGAGCCGTATCCTTGTCCGACCTCGGATGGTTGGACCACGCAACAAGTGTTTCTTAAAATGGATCGCCAAAACCCTAGGTTTCAATATTAAAGTGGTTTAATGACTTGGATGATTTGGGGGTACATCTCGCTTCTGCTTTTTTAAGTGACTCTGAGATGATTGACAGGCTTTTCGTTTAAAGTTCGCAACCCGACAAACAGATCTTCCGAAATTCTCTGAACCTTTGCCTCACCATTCTCACCATCCAATTTCAGAATACTTTAGATATGTTGATTGCATACACATCAAGTTTGCATCATGTAAATTTGGGTTTCTTTTGGTCCCATTCCCAATTACAGTATATAGTTGAATCCCCATCCAATGTTTATTTTTTCTTCCATGCATTCTTCTTGTTCGGAATACCCACGTCTAGCCTATACCTAGCAATCATGTTCTTTTGGGAAAATTGAGGGGCCTGTTTGGCATTCTATCTACATCTATCTACTATCATTTATATATACCTCTTGGTCTTGTTCGTTGTTCAATGGGGGTTAGCGCCCTATTGCTCAGCAAGACAGTACTAACAATATCTAGCTTTGTTAGAGAGCCCGGGTTATGTCTAAAGTCATTTATACATATAACCTGGGGCTTGGCCCCCTTGGCTGCACTGGTCGAACTCTCAGATTACGCCACCCGATTTTGTGTTTTTGTTTAATGCAATTCTGATCATCCTAGGGCGGAAAATCACAGAAACCTTGGGGTTGGTTTGTCCAAAAACGTGTTTTTCTTCCCAGATGCATTTGGGGGAACATGGAGAAAATGTATGGAAAATGTCGTTTCAAATCATAATCTTCCTGTGGAATATGTGTCACAACTTAGGCCAACGACCTCGGCGGCTTCCGCCGACCCTGAAAGGAGAATGAGGGACCTCAGTTAAAAGCTTGGAGGCTTCAATGATCCGTGCGAGAAATCACCAGTGAAAACTGTGAATTAGATACCTAGCTAGTTGGTGGTTTCAACCCCCATATCCCCAAATATCCCTCTAATGGATGATTATTCCCTCTAATATTGGATGGTTAATGGATGGTTATTCCCTCTAATGGATGGTTTCAACCCCCCTGAAAAATATGAGTTCGTCAGATTGGATCATCATCCCAACTATTGGGGAAAATAAAAAATGTTCCAAACCACCAACCAGTAGTTAGTTTGTTAACCTGCTAATGGGATTGATCAATCAGTCAGTCAGCTTGTTCAGTCACAGTTCGGGACGTAGTTCTGTATTATAGATCGATCGTCGTAGTTATAGTGATAAAATCTGCACAAGCCACAAGATAACTGCCATACCTATCAGATCCTATCAAGGCAGATCATTTCCAAGGTTGAAGCCAACAGGCGAACTTGAAAAAAAGTAGTTGGTTTCAAGCAAAATCAAAGTGACGCTTCAAAAAGTATACCGACCCTGGGCATGGGATCCGAATCTGAACGCTAACTCTAGCATTTTTCTGCCAATATCAACATTGAGAATCCGCAAACTGCCAGCAGTCGGGTCCCCGCACTGATTCGGGTGGTGACATTGCCACCAAGTTCCTTCATCAGCGGGTAGTGCCCTGGCCTTGGTTTTGATGGTGTTTTTTTGAGCAAATCTGCACCAAACCCATGGGATTTTCGACCCCAAAATGTCGAGGAAAAAACCTGAAATCTTCCTTGAAACCCAATTCTCGGAGTTGTGGGGGGCAATGTGCACCCCTCCCCAGTTTCGGAAAAATTATTGGTATGATCTGTGAGATACTCCATCCTTTGAAAAATCGATTGCCACTCAGGGCACATGTCCGACTATCCTTGGAGACCGTGAAAGAATAGCTTACTGGTGCTAAACGCAGGGAATTTTCAGGAATGATCCACAATAATCAATAATCATCCCAGCAACCCCTAGTCCCATCCATTCCCATCCATTCCCTACGTAAAACGCACCAGTAATATGTTGGGCTCAAAATGATCAGCCCTCCTGGCAGCCTCCTGGGGACCCAACCCTGGCGCACCATTGGATGGCTTCATTAGCGCCTTTTCCCTGGGCGCCCAGATTTCGAGTCGTATCCCTTCGCGCGCTGTACAAACTGCGCTGCTTGGGGTTTGTTAGACAAACCATGATATACCCTCTGGTAAACTAACATAGCCATGGAAAATCACCATGTTTAATGGGAAAATCCACTATAACTGGCCATTTTCAATAGCTATGTTAAATTACCGGAGGGTATCGGGATACCAACCGTGTTTCAAACTCCTGGTATTTGTCACCAACAAAAAATGTATATTGGGTTTGTCCAAAAATGCTGGATTTACCAAAAAGCATATTTGGATATGTCGAATCGTGATAATTAAGATATATCATTTTACTTGGAGGCACTCTATTTCATACAAGACCAAAACATATTAACATATTACATAGAAGATGAAGACACTATCCTCCGTGAATGCAAGCTGGCCATGTGGAATTCTATTTTCTGGTTTGTTCAGAAAAAACATCGCCAATCATAGATACTCTCTGGGAATCTAATCTGGCTAGCTGGGTAGGTCTCGTCTACCAGAATGAGAATATCAATCCTCAAACAACTCACACATTGCCGAGCTTCATGCTTCAATTCTCCTCTATTTGCCCCTTGAAACCCAACTTTGAAGACTCTTTTGCTGGTTCAAATTTAGGTTTGTTGGTCGGTGTCACCCCTTTTGTGCTGGTTCAACCCTTCTTCCTGTATGTTCAAGTTGGCTCAAGCCTCCCCATTTCTTATTAGGTTTATCAAGACCCATGTTCTCTGGCTCAACCATATGCGACCACATCAAATCCATTCAACTCCTATATGTTCCTCTTGAATCTGAAACATAGGTGACATGGGAAATGGTCAATATATCCCATTTCAATTTTCTCCATAACAAGATCCATGGAGTTTGAACTCACAACAGTCGTTGCACCGCGGCACCTGGATTCTGAACCAAAGAACGGCACAGGCTGGGTCTTGTAGACCTGGAGTTCAGCAATAAGTGAGTGGGGATTCAACCATCAACAAGTGTGTCAAACAAATAATCATCAAAGATATGCCATGGGTATGATTGAAAACTCGTGGAATGAGGAATTCGAGAAACATCCCATAAAATCCTTGATTTTCCCGGCGTTTTCCCCATTTTTGGGACCAACCTTCACTAATTACGAAACCCGGGGCCTGGGTCATGTTCAGCTTGTAGGCGCCCGGGTCGGGACTCTTGCCAGTGCCCTCCTTTCCTGGGAAGATTTGTCGGAGGGTAGCCTCTCGAAATGGCTGGATGTGGGTATGGATCAATACCTATAAAAATACCATTTTTAGTGGGATGAACATCCATAAATCCCAGCTATTATGATGTGAACTACAGGGGTACTATTGGTTTTGACACACTGCCATGTTGATCCCCAAGTAGCACCATGGTGTCGTCCATCTGCGTCAGGTTTGCACTTCGGTTTTTGTATAGGTCAAATAGGTGCTAAAAATGAGCAATTCTGAGGGTCCATTGGTACCCCGTAGATGTGCCCTTTGTATGCCTTTGTATGTGTTCTAGCCAAACTCCATGTGAAGAGTATGTCAAAGAAAGGAGTTCTTTGCACCTTTGACATACTCAGCACCTCCCCTCTCTCCCAGCCTTCTGGTTTCCCTGCGAAGTAAACTGCCTCGTCGAGAAATCCCATTGCTACAGTAAGGAACTGGGTTGAAATGATTGTGAATGCCCGGCACGATTTTTCTGGGGGGAGGTATTTCTTATTCCTTTATACGTGTATACATACATACATATGCATATATATATATATGTATAGAGGTATTCATACATTGACGTCCTCAACATGGGGTATATGTGTTTATAACCTGGTTCTTTCCAAGACAAGTCCAACCCCACAGTCCTGCCTTTGTGTTCAGGCTGCTCCGCAAGGGGTAGTTCCCAGGCCTTGAACAAATTGTCGTGAGGCTATGGGTTCTGGGTACCCCAAACCAATTGGTTCCAGTGAAAAGTACATCTAGAATAGTATGGAACCACATAGTTGCAGGATGTGATACGGGATATATACATACACACACCATATATATATATGGATATATATATATATATGGATATATCCCAACTTATGGAGGTTATCATCATGGTTATACCGATAAATGACCAACATCTCCAGAGGACGGGCCCCGGGCGGAGGCCCATCGGTTTCCTGACGTCGACCAACATCGGGATGTCATCAACCCGACGGTGAAACCCCAAACTTGGGACCCTACCCTCTGTTTGCAGGTGAATATCTAGAAATCTCCATAGGGCATCATCTTCCAAGCGTTCAGCCATTCCATTTCTAGCAGCTTCTTTGATGCATAGTATGAGATTCGAGACCGATATTGGGAGCAGACACGTCTGATTCCTGAGCTACGTCGCAGACTTGGAAAAAACCATGCAGGGCTTGTGACAGCTGGTGAGTGTCCAATCTTTTGCACATGCCAACACTCCTAGCGCAGGTCAACATGCATCACCAGTCCGATCAATGGATGTCAAGATGGATGAACTTCCCCCTTGCGAATCTATGTCCCCACATATGCTGGTGTCCTGAAATAGGGGTACCCCCAAATCATCCATTTGTAGATGGGATTTTTTCATATTTTTTCCATGAAACCAACCACCCATTTTGGATACCCCATTTATGGAAACCCCATATGAAGTTACTAAACTCCCCATCCAAGGGTTGACCCAGCAAACTTCCGCCTTCGCCTTGGGTAAGCGTGGCCCAGTGCCAAAGCTACACCTGGGATGGTAAACTGAGTACGTTCCCCACGTGTATGGAATATCGTCACTATACATATGATCCCATATGATTACACATGTATTTTTATTATCATTATCATCATTATTATTATTAATATTAATATTATTGCTGTGTGTGTAAGTTACATGAAGAGCTTCTTGAACACTGACTGAGATACTCCAAGTATGAAGCGGGGCAACTGGGGAGTTGCCAGTCTCCAAAGTGTTTTCGGGGTGTGTGCCCAAAACTGGGGGGGTGGGCCTCATCAAATTGACAGTTAATCTGGAAAATGTGATGATGAGCCTGGAATTTTTTGGGCTACTTCTGTTTCAGACAAAGCCACATGCTGGTATTTCATTTAAAGAAAAAATACGGATTCCAGGGTAGAACATGAAGATGGACGTTCACTGTTCATCCCTCAAATGGGGGTATCATTGGTCTGACCCTGTTGGACCCAGCCGTGCTCATGTGTCATTCCCAGTTTCTTCATCCTACAAGATTGGGGCTCTGATGAACCTACAATCCTCCAATTTCATCATGTTTCTTTTTTCCCAAACCATCGCTGTTTCATCCGTTTTCCATGTTTTTTTTCCATCGTTTTTTCCCAGTTTTCCCATGATTTTCTCCATCCCCCAGGTCCTTTCGGCCCCTAATGGGCCCCCAACGGTCCCCCTTTTGGGTCCCCTCCCGGGACTCCAACAAAGGGCCCCGCACGTGCGACCCGACTGGTTGGGCATGAAGGGGGTATAGGCCCCAGGCCCAGGTGCACCACCTCGTGGGGGTTACAGTGGTTAAATGTGGTTAAACCATCAACCAAAAAAAAATACCCAAACAGCTAATGAGGTTAGAGAAAGAGAAATTCACTCGGATTTCAACTTCGAGTTGTTGGACAGTTGATTTGATTTGAATTCATGTCAACTGAATATAGTTCTATCTATTCTCTGATGTGTGTTTTCCATGTTAAGCTTTGCATTTGAAACCGTCACTGCTGTTGGGTTGCAAAGCTGGGTTAATGTGGTAAAGCCCATGTTATTAACCAACCCATTCATCAACCATTTGGAGGCCATTATAAAGGTATTCCCAGCAATAAACCTCTATTGACTCTACTAATCTATTATTGGGTCTACCACATTGGAGTTATCCTCACCAACTTGGCTATCGTTTGGGGTCCCACCTTGTTCAACTAGGGATGTTTGTCTTGAATATCTGGCCGGTCTGGCTGAATTTTGTGACATCAAAATCCACCAACCAGAAATGTCTGGCTATTTGGGGACGATGCCTACGACTACAAACCATCCTTCCAGTGACATCGTGGTCAGGTCATTACAATTCTGGATGCTGGATCAGTGGATCCTTGGGTCCTTGGCAGGACAAACCTGAACTGATGAATGATTTCTGTCACTGATTTTGGAAAGCGTTTTTCTGTTGGTGCCAAAGACAGCCACCATTCCCATTCTGGGAAAGATCTGTTCGATTGTCTCTGTTTGGTGGTATTGCTGGCTTACAGTAAATGTATTGGTTCTCCCCCCTTTTCTGCTGGCCAAAATCCACATGTTTGTTGCGGAACATGCGCCTGTCCTGTTGCCCAACTCCCTCTTGTTTCACTGCTAAAAGTTCCCCGCTTGTCAGTTGCCATCCGCCCCAGTTTTGCGGAAAAAAAAACTCGCTGTTTTTGGCTAGCTGCTACCACACCTATGGGTGTAAATCCACCATGGCTGGCGACAAACCCAAACACATGCTGGTTAGTATATGAATATCCCCACAACATGTATGTATATGATTGTATATCTATATGTACATTTGTGATGCGGCTTACAGGCAACTTCTATAAAATGATGAAAACATAAAATGAACTATATATTAACAAAAAACACAACGTAATACAAACCAATTTTTTAAGGCAAAACAAAAAAAACAATCAGAACAGCTCAAAAGCGAAACAAAAAGCAAAAAAACGCAAAACCAAAAGCAAAAAAAAAAAGCAAACCCAAAATACATTTATATGCGGCTGTTTTTTTCGCTTTTTTTTGTTTGTTTTTTTCCTCGAGTGTTTTACATTTTCGAAGGTCCGCGTCATCAGGTCACCTGCGAAAGAAAAAAACGGAAAAAGAAACGGAAAAAAAAGCGAAACAAACAGAAGAAAAAAACAACCGCATATAAATGTATATCCAGGTTGCTTTTTTTTGCTGTTGGTTTTGTTTTTTTTGCTTTTTCAAAATAGTTGTTTGGTTTGTTTTTGCTTTTGTTTTTCCTTTTCTTCAGACAGTGTTTTTTTTTCGCATTAGTTTTCGCTTTTTGTTATTGTTTTTTGAATCCTTAGAAGTTGGCTTAAGGCATTTCACAAATGTACATGTGTATATATAGATATATATATATACACACATTATATATAGCCAGAAAAGCCGTGAAAGCTGCAGAATTACTATGACTATGACCATATCTTCACCCAGTTCTGCTTCAAAAATCCACACGGATTCCATCGGATTGGGAAAATCGGCCGGTTTCCGCCAAAGACACCACTCCACTTCTTGTTCATCAGCCTGGATGAGGCTCCAAACGACACATCCAGTGTCCTGGAAAGCGATTTTGGTCGCTGAATTGGGTACCATGAAAAAGGGTCCCAAAAAGATAGAGAAGTAAAAACCCCCCGAATCGCGAGTGATAAATCACTTTTATATCTTTTTGAGATCTGTTTGAGGGTTAATGTAATCGCCAATGACATCATTGAAAAATAATAAACCAGGGTGAATAAACCAAAAAACGGAGATGATGTGTTGTGGGAAAATACTGAGGCGAGAAGCATGTTATAAACCATTGAGATCTTTGAGATTCTTGGGGCCCCATTTTGTGCAAACCTATGATGATCAACGAAGATCGATTAGGGCTTGAGCCACCAATCGCAAAGGGAGTGCCAGAAATAAGACCTTCTTTCTGATCATAACGAGAAATTATTAACCCACCCATTTTGGGGGATAACCCACCAGTACAGCATATAAACAAATCCCGTGCTAAATATAGGTTCTGCAGCGGTATGTATTTGGAGGATTTTGGAGGGGGGATTGATTTAAGTTCAGGCAAAAGTCAACAAAAAAAAGGGGAGATTGACCAACATCCAACGTTGATATACATGGGGCATTATATGTGTAAGCAGCAAACATATATGGGGTATTGACCGACAAAGATCTGTTGATTGTGATATCAGGGTAAATAGGAATTAGCATCTCACGCTGGGGTCGCGGGCCAATATTTGTAATCACCGACCAGAATTAGGGTCTGGTGCCGCCCAAACAAGTTGAAATTTGGACAAAAAAAGAAGTATTCTGGAAATCCAGTTCGAATCTGTTCAAACTTTGGGATATTCAGAAATACCAAAATTTTCTGGACATCGATTTTGAGCTAGAGTATTTTGGGATATTTGGGCTGCAATTTCTACATCTTCGTAACATACGTCTCATCTCAGCGCCCTAAAACCACTGTCACAGTGCCGTGCCTTCGGTACTTGACGTCACAACTGGGAACACCATACCTCGGTCGGAAAGGGTCTGGCTGCATTTTATCATAATTCACTAACATATACCCTCTGGTAAACTAACATAGCTATTGAAAATGACCATTTATAGTGGATGTTCCCATTGAAAATGGTGATTTTCCATTGTTATGTTAGTTTACCACAGGGTATACAGTAATGATAATGACAATGGGAGTATAATGAAGGACTTATGAAAAATGTGGGTACCATGAAATATAGATATAAAAAAGGGCCCAATAATGGTGGTATGATACATCTGGGGAACTTCATCATAGTTTCACCCAGCCTAAAATGATTCGCACTTTGGGTTCATCCCGATAGGTTTTGACCGGCCATGGAATGTTGGAGA